CACCCCCCCGTGTTGGGCCCCCCCCCCCCGAGTTGGGAACCCCCCTGCCAAGGATCGCTCCGGCACTGAGAAAATCATTACAGGGCTCTGCCCTGGCAGGGAGCGTCCTCCGCTCTGCAGCTGCGTGGCCACCTTGGGGATGGGGACAGGGGACCCCCCCACACACACACCCCAGCTCCACGGTACTGGGGTACATCCCAGTCCGGTTCCAGCAGGCGAAGGCTGCTCCGGGGGTATTTTTACAGCAAAAAGCCATAAAAAGCCAACGGTGGGCACTGTGCTGACAGCGATGCCATGCTTCCCGGCTCATCACGGGGGCATCACCCCACAGCCACTGCGCTGGGGGCAAATAAAGGCCCTTGGGGGGGGGCAGAGATGAAAGGGCAGCAGATTCGGCATTATTAGTTCTTAATTATAGTCTTGAAAAGGCCGAGATAAAAAGGCAGGAGGCCCCCACCGGGGCTCGGTGGTCTTGGGCATGTTTGGTTAGGAGGTGCTTTCCCTTTTTTTATTCCCTTTTTCCTCTCTGTCTGTTTGATGGAGCTCAGCAAACAATCCCCCCCCCGCACCCCCACGCAGCAGGGTGGCCCCAGGATGGGGGGGGTGCCCGCCACTCCTGTGCTGGGTGGGATGCTAATGGCATCTGCGGAGTTGGGATCCAGGTGATATGGGGCTACTGGTACCCGGTTGCGCTTTGGGAGAGCCAGGTGGGAAAATCTTGTCCTGGAGAGATGGGGGGGGTCAGATTTTAGCAATTTGGTGGGGGTGCTGCCATGCAAACAAGGAGCACAGGAGGGCTGGAATTGGGAGTTTGCTCCAACAAACTGAGCATCTCCTGTCACCAGGTCCGGATCCAGAACAGGGACCTGAACCCAGGGATGGCTCCTGCCTAATTTTGAGGCAAAATTGCCCCAAGGTTCCGGCTCCTGAGCTAATTAATAACAATGCTGCTCATTAGCCCCAGGCCGGGCTGTCTGGGCAGGGTGTGGATTGTCGGTCTGCAGAGGAGTGGGGCCTCCAGGGTCACCCCCGCCCCCGGCCCCGGACAGCCTCAGGGGTGACCCCGGAGCCCCAGGGCCCCCCCCTTGGTCTTGTGTCCATCCTCTGTCCAGCAGCATCCCTCTGTCTGGCCGTTGTCCGTCCGTCCATCCCAGTTCTCGGTGCCCTTCACACACAAAAATCCCTTTTCATCCATTTGCCCGTGTGCTGTGCTAGTCCTGGGCGGGGGGCTATGGACACCCACATTTTGCAGGGAAAAGGAGTATTTTCTACCAATTCAGCTGAATTTGTTAGAAAAAAGCAAAATGTTTGGACACCGGCTGCCATCAAGTGGCTGAGGAGGATCCAGGCCCGACCCTCGGTCCGCGGATCATTTTATCTGAATCCCAGATCCCCCCCCCCCCCGCCCTGCCTCAATTAAATTCACTCTTCCTTTCTTGTTATTAAAGGTCTCACCACCCGGATTTGGGATGCAGTGCAAAGCCCTCCCTTAAGCATCGTAAGATATGCGGCTCCGCTTCTTCTCTGGATAGACTTGACCCAGCTCTAGGGAGGTTTTTGCAAGGAGGATTCATACGTGCACAGGGTCACCGCCACTGCTGCGGGCTGTTTGCAGGTGGAAAGGCAGAAAAAAAATAAAGAAAAATATCTTTTTTTTTAAACCCTGCAAGTGGTTGACCTGGGGAACTCCTTGCCCATGAGCTCTGGGGGTTGAGAGCTTTAACAGAGGAGTTTCTGCAAATAATAACATCCGTAGCTGTATGAGAAGAGCTAAAATACGCCGTGCCCCAAAGCGGGGCAGTCCTGCAGCACAGCTGGGTGGCTCGGGGCTGGGCTGGGTTGTCCCCCACCAGCAGACAAGCGGGCTATAGAATTGGAGCAGGAGGGATATGTCTTCTTTAAAAGTTTTGCACCTTTCCATGCACCTGAAGGAAAACTGGTGGGTTTTTTTTCCATAATCTTCCTTATTTCTATTCCGTGGCTCATGGGGTTCGTGGCTAAGGACAAATCCTGCTCTGCCCTATTCACACAGCTTTGATCCTGCTCCATACCAGAGCTCTTTTGGATGCCAGCGGTGGCAACGAAGCCACTTCCAGCAAAACATCTGCTGCTCGGAGCATCTGGGACCGATTCCCAAAGGCACCCGAAGTGCTGAGCGTCTCTGATCCATGCAGACCCAAGAGCATCCCAGATAGTGGGGAGCAGGGATCCCAGTTAGCATGCACCACTGTTAGTGAGTATACCAGTTAACAGGCATCCCAGCTGGTGAGCATCCCAGTTAGTGGGCATCCCAGTTAGTGGGCATTCCCAGTAGCAGGCATCCCAGGTAGTGAGTATCCCATTTAGCAGGGATCCCAGTTAACAGGCATCCCAGTTAGCACAATTCCAGCCAGCAAGCTGCCAGTTAAAGAGAATCCCCACTATCAAACATCCCAATTAGCAGGTGGCTAATTAGCAGGGCTGCCAGTTCTGGTAGATCCTACTGAGTGTATCGCTACTCATCGGAGATCCCAGTTAGCAAGCATCCCAGTTAGTGGGCTCCCAGTTAATAAGGATCCCAGTTGGGAGGTGCCCCAGCCGGGTCCCAGCGGGCAGGGTCCGGGGGGGGGTCCCAGCAGGGTCCCGGGTGGGTCCGGGGGTCATCCCAGGGGGGTCCCAGGGGGGTGGCAGGGGGATTCCCAGGAGGGATCCCGGGGGGGGTTCCCAGCGGGGTTCTGGGGGGGCAGTGGGGGTCCCAGGAGGGGTCCCGGGGGGGTTCCCAGCGGGGTCCAAACGAGCGGTTCCCGGCGGGGCCGTTCCCCCGCTGACCGCCAGAGGCCACTGCCCGACCGCGCTGCGCCCGGGCGGCACCGGCTGGGACAGCGGGCGGGGGGACACCGGGCTGGGGGACTGGGATGGGGATACTGGGATGGGACACACCAGGGTGGGCCATACACACCAGGGTGGGACATACACACCAGGGTGGGACACATGGGGATAGCACAGCGGGATGGGACACAGCGGGATGGGACATATTGGGATGGGACACAGCGGGATGGGACACACCAGGATGGGACATACTGGGATGGGACACACCGGGATGGGAGACACCGGGAAGGGACACTGGGGCTGGGACACACCAAAGCAGGACACCAGGATGGAACACACCAGGATGGAACACACTAGAATGGGACAAACCGGACTGGGACACACTGGGATGGAACGCACCAGGCTTGGCCACCCCGAGGCTGGGACACAGCAAGATGGGACAAACCAGGCTGGGACACACTGGGGCTGGCACAACCCGGGGCCAGGAGGTTTCTCCCGAGACCCTGCGTGGATAAAGGGGGTCCCGGTGGAGGGTGACAACCTGTCTCCTGTGCCACCACTGGCTATGCAAGCTCCAGCTGAGCTTTTGGGTGACGATGAGGACCATCTACAGGAGGAAGTCAAGCCCAGTCCCACCACGCATGCAAACAAGCCAAGGGCAGACAGCATGGGTGCTTCTAGGGGCTGAAATCTGCCCTGGAGGTCCATCCAAGCTGCATGAACTCTGCAGGGATGGCTCCATCCACAGCATCCCGCTTGCTAGCTGATCCTAAAGTGAGCTGGCCAAATTCAGCCCATCACTAACCGGGAGAACACATGTGGGCTCTGACCAGCCCCTAAACCCCATTAATCAACCCTAAAAGGGCACATCCCTGGGCAGCACCCTAAGGCTGTGCCTGTCCCCACCATCCCAAGGGTCAGCATCAACTGGGGGAGATGGGAAGGTGGAAGTTTGTCCTTCCCCACGCTCCCGTTATGGGGCAGGAGAGCCAAACGTGCCTCACGACAGTGTCCCTCCTCTGATTTTCCCCAGGCTGGAACCTGGTACGGGGGGTTTCCAGCATCCCCAGGGCCACTAGCACCTCTGCGGGTCCCCCCTTTTACGCTACCATCTGCCCCCAAAATCTGGGAGCTACTCAAAACCCCCGTCCATCTGTCCAGCTGGGAAAGTCAAAAGCAGTGTCATTGCCAAATCCAGAGGCACCCACAGAATTGATGGCGACGGATTTCCACCCTTATTTGTCAACAAGGCTTGCTGGCCTCCCCCCCAACCCCGCAAAGCCCCGTTAATCTCCCATACAATTGCAGTTTGCTGTGCAAACAGCTTTGGGGGGGGCCAGTGTGGGGTTTGCATGAGAAATGTGTCATTTGGGGGTGGCCGGCAGCCTTGTGGGTAAGCCAGCGAGTGAATCGTGGCATCGCTAACGCCGGATTGAAACGATTTCGAAGCAATTGCCCTTCAATAACCCTAATCCTCGGCCGTGAATGGGGGTTTTTAACTCCTGGCCATTATTCCCACCTTATTATCTATTGATTGACTTTTAGAAAGGGTAATAACGTAAATAGATTGATGCTCTGAAGCCCGCCCGGAGATCAAATGGAGCCGATGGTTGATTTTCCGTGTGGGATCCGGTGGATAAAGCCCAGAGCTTTGATTTCACCCCCCGAAGAAGAGATGGGGGTGAAGGGGTGATGGGGGGCAAGGAGATGGGGAAAGGCAGGGAGGGGGGACCTCGTGGGGAGCAGCAGCCTCCATCCCTCCCCGCTCCGCCAAACAATCAGAATAAAAGCAAATTATTTCTCCTATTTTCTTTCCCGAGATGAACGATAAACCGTCCATCCCCGAAAAGAAACTGATAACGCCTCTAATTTTACTGGAAGGCCTAAAAATGCCATTTCTACGCAAAACAGGGCGCCGCTCTCCTCCCAGGCCAGCTTTTGATAAACGTTGGGGTTTTTTTCTTCTTTTTTGCCTTTTTATTTTTTTTTTCCTATTTCCCTTTCAGTTTGCAAGGGGAAATGCCCCCGGAGCTACAAACAACGCACAATAAAGCAAAATAATATTTTAGTCAAAATAGGCAGACGGCGCTCGCAGCCAACTTTCAAATTAGCATTTTGAGGGCAAATATGCAGACAATTTGAGATAATGAGGCCTGATTATTCAATCCAATGAATGTTAAATAGGCAGCGAGGGCGCCCGCGTCTTATCTCCCCCGCTTTCGATTTAGTTCAGTTTAGTTTAGTTTTAATCTTTTCCCCTTTGAACCCTTTTTTTGTCTCGGCCCCAGCCCCCCCCCCCCCTCCATTCCCCGGCATCCCTGCGCTGCCAGCCGGGATTTTGCAGTGGGAAATCACCAGCATGGACCCACCATTCCCTTTGCAACCCATTTTCAGGGAGCATTTTGTAGCTCATCCCTCCAAAAAATTGGAGCCTGGGGAAGTTTGGGTGCTGCCGTCAGACCTGGTCCATGCGTCCTCGAATTGGGGGAAGTTTGGGTGCTGCTTTGATGGTGGTGTGAATATTTGCAGGGATGTGCATCGCCGGGATGGAGATCTGGGGCGATGCATCCCCAATCTAGGCTCATCCTTCATGCTTTCCCTTTAATCCCAGGGCTGTTTGTGCAGGCGATGGTGCAGTTGCTCCCACCCTGGGTCTCCGCAACCATCGTTAAATGAATGCAAATGGTAAACGAGCCCGGGGGGAGACGATTCCAGCGCCCGCTGCCACCCCAAAGCAAAGCCCAGCTCAGCATCCCACCCGGCTCAGCATCCCGTCGTGCAGCCCCTGCGACCTTCTGGCAGCGTTTCGCTTCGCTTTCGTGGAAATGCAATTTCTTTGCAACCCCAACGAGGTGCATTTCCCATCCCCAAGAAGGGAAGAATCAGCTCCAGGTTGGGGAGCTCCTGGGGGGTGAGCAGCACCGGGCGCTGCCAGGGCCACCATGATATTTTGCACCAAAAATGGGGGGAAAAAGCAAAATCGTGTAATTGGCATTGTTTTCCAGGTCCTCACCGGTGTTAGGGTTAAGCGAGAGCCCTCGTCGAGGATGCCATCGCAATGGTATTTAGGAGCGGGCTGGGGGAGATGGATGGCTGCCACGGAGCGGGAGGAAGGAAAAATGAAAGTTGAAGGAAAAATGCAGGTTGAAGCAAAAATTAAGGTTAAAGCAAAAATTAAAGTTAAAGCAAAAATTACAGTTAAAGCAAAAATTACAGTTAAAGCAAATATTAAAGTTGAAGTGAAAGTTAAAGCAAAAATTAAAGTTGAAGGAAAAATTAAGGTTGAAGCAAAAATTAAAGTTAAAGCAAATATTAAAGTTGAAGCAAAAGTTAAAGCAGAATTTAACCCAGTCCAGGCTCACTGAGATCAGGGCAAAGGGTACCCGTAAGGCAGTGACATGGCCCCCACGCTGCTGCTAACCCCTGTTTTCCCTGTGATTCAAGAGAAGAATAATAAAAAAAAAGAATTATTTCAGGGATAATTAAAAAACCTCTTTATGCCTCAAATGCAAAGGTGGTGGCAAAAATCAAAGCAGTGAATAAATAAGAGCTGGGAAGCTAAGCAGGGCAGGGAAGGTGAAGGAAGACAGAAAAAAAACCCCAGTTATGGGGGCAAGGATGGGAAGTGGCAGAGAGGAGGAGATGCAGCGAGAGGAGAGATAATCAGAAAGCAAGGAAAAAAGGGGAAAAACAATCAAAAGAAGGCAAAATAAAAAGCAGATGCTGAGGAGGGATAAGAGGCGGCTGGCGGAGCGGGGCCGGGCACCGGACTGGAGGGATAATTGGATTTTGGTTCATCTCGGGGGTGATAAGAAATTCCCCATGTAGTTTTTTATTCCTATATGAAGCATATTTTAATGTGAGATTTGAATACAGCCAGGGCAGCGCATCCCACCTGCAAAATACAGGTTGCTGAGGGTTTTGTTTTTTTTTTTCCCCGATTTCCCCCAGTTTATGCACTCGCTTGGAGGCTTTTTGGGGCAGAACACGGCTATTCCTGCGCTCAGCAGCTTCGGTCTCATTAGCAGGTGTTTGGGGTGAGTGGGAGCAGTGGGAACCCCCAAAAGCAAGGAGAGGGGATGCAGCAACCCCAAAGGGGACAGAGTGACCCCAAAGGGGACAGAGTGACCCCAAAGGGAATGTTGCACCCCCAAAGGGCACAGAGTGACCCCAGAGAGGGTGCAGCAATCCCAAAGGGGACACAGCACTCCCAAAGGGGACACAGCGACCCCAAAGGGGATGTTGCACCCCCGAAGGGGACACAGCAACCCCAAAGCGGATGCAGTACCCCCAGGGGGGACACAGCAATCCCAAAGGGGACATAGTGACCCCAAAAGGGACACAGCAACCCCAAAGGGGCTGTAGCAACCCCAAAGGGGACATTGCACCCCCAAAGGGGACCCAGCAACCCCAAAGGGGACAAAGTGACCCCAAAGGGGACCCAGCAACCCCAAAGGGGACAAAGTGACCCCAAAGGGGATGCAGCAACCCCAGAGGAGATGTTGCACCCCCAAAGCGGACACAGCAATCCCAAAGGGGACGGAGCAAATCCCAAAGGGGACATAGCGATCCCAAAGGGGATGCGGTGACCCCAAAGGGGATGGAGCAAATCCCAAAGGGGCCACAGGAATCCCAAAGGGGCCATCACACCCCTGCAAAGCCCCATGACCCCGTCGGGACACCCACCCTGTGTCCCCGCGGCCGAGCGGAACGGACAGCCTCGGCCCCCGGGGAGGGGACACGAAGCAGAAGGAGGCAAAAAAAATTGCTGCCGGTTTAATGCGGGAGATGGGAGCGATAGAGCAGAGCAGCTCAGCCCCCTCCTATTAACCGAGGTGGCCCCGAACGCCCCTTATCGTGACGGCATCAAAGCCCCGGGGCCCAGATCGCCCCGTCATAGCCCGGCCATGAGCACCCAAAATGCTGGTACCGAACATGGCGCACCCCAGAACGGCTTTTTGGCGTGACCTTGCTTGAGGGGCCGGGGAATATCAGGTTTGGTGGTGCAATCGAGTTATGAGGGTCAGCGAAGAGGTTTTTAATTGCTTATTAGGATTGGGGCCCTGTTGGGGACACTGCCGTCCCCCCCCCGCTCCGGCTGCGACGTGGGAAACGCTGCTGAATATTTAAAGCGAAGCCGGGGAAGGGGAAAGGTTGCGCGCGGCTCGATGCCACCATCGGCCCTGGGAATTATCCCGCAGGGACACGGGGAATCTGCTCCCCTGCGCGCAGCGTTCAAGGGCGAAGCAGCCCGCAACGGGCTGGTGGCGTGGGTGCCCTGCAAAGCCCGTGGCAGGGGGTCGTCGCGGGGTGCAGGGGCTGCTCTGGTGGCAAAAGCGGCGCATGCGGGCGCGTGGCTCACCTCGGCGCGGGCGCACGCGTGCTTTGCACGTGCAGGGACACGTGTGCCTGCTCGTGCACGCAGGGACGCGCTCGCGTGGGCACGCGAGCACATGCTTGTGCGTGCACGGGCACGTGCTCGCGCTTGCACACGCCGGGATGCGCGCGCGAGCACGCGCTTGCACGGGCACGGGCACGCGCTCGCACGCGCGTGCAAGCGCACGCGTATATGCTTGCACACGTGTGCACATCCAGGACCGGGCATGAACTCGCACGTACGTGGGCGCATCCTGGGGCACGGTAACGGGGAAAAAGAACGAGGGGAACGCCGCTAAAAGCTGGGGGGGGGGCCTGCAGTGGGATGTCGGGGCACACAGACCTGTGCGTGTGTCCCCCCCTCTTCCCGGCTTGCCCGGGTGACATGTCGCGACACTCTGGGTGGCCCATCGTGGCTTTGTGGTGGCCCCAGCCTGCTGCGTGTCCAGGTCCACACTGTGTCCCCCCCCCGCGTTGCACGCCCGCTCGGTGCACGCCCAGCCCCGCTGCACGCCCGGTGCAAGCCCC